GATTGATTCATCTGATGAACATGAAGTGGATGAGTTTTATTATCAGCTGGAGGAAGTTATTCGCAATGACAAGACTTATTACAAATTCGTTGTCGGAGACTTCAATGACAAAATAAGAATGGCTAACGAGAGCAAATACAGGGCTGAAAAATTTGGATAAGAAGAAAGAAATGAAATCAAAAACATTTCGCTGGATTCCTGTTTGCGGCTCGTTCCTTCCACGGGAATACAGTTCTCCAGAAGAAGGAACACCGCAGCCGGACGTAGGAGTCACCTGGCGGCACAACTCATGCGGAAATCGGCAATATGCTGCAAACGAAGATGGTGCCTGTTCGACACATTCTAGTCCAATCACCCTGTATTGAGTCCCATCACCGCCTTCTTCGAGCAAAGATACGATTCAGTCGTAAGCTGGGAAAGAATTTATGTCATCGACCAAGAAAAGTCGTCAGACCGTTTACGACGAAAGCATTCTAGACGAAATTTTATGCAGTGATGACTGGAAGATCAAGGATGATCAGACCGAAGACTGCGAGCTGCTTGTCGAAGGGATGTGCCGACATAGCTTCAGTTACACAATCCAGAAGAGATGATTGCATCTCCTCCATTACGAACGAGTCGTTTGAAAGAAGAAGGAAGCTGAAGCTTGACTCTAATGCGAAATATTTGGTATCGGTAATACCAACAGCTACAGAAGATCTATTTTAAAGGATCTACATAGGTACCGGCAGCCGTCAGAAGCGGCACGAGAACTATCTAGTCTAAAAAAGTGCTGTCGAAATCTGTGTGATCATAGTGTTCCGCTGTCAGCGTTGATGAACGAAGATGGGCACGAAAACTCTCCGCCATGGTGTGGAATTGATAACGGAGTGATTCTACACCCACTAATGTACATTGCTGTGCAAAAACATTTGCATCAGCTGGGATTCGAATTTAGATCTCATTCTTTGCGGGAGCGGGTGCTAATTTCGATAGATTCTACACCAATCTTCTTTGTTTCACCATCCCCATCTCGGTTCCCGTGATCCGCACTGAAAAAACCGCCTGGGATTCTGCCCTCTAAAGTTGGAGTCGTGATAAAATGCACGAAAAAGCACAGCTTCAGGACTCGAAAACATCACTGTCGACTTTCTGCGTTTCGGAGTTTAACGACCACTGCATTACGAACGATGCTCCGATGAACTACGCAGATAAAGATTTTATGATTTTGCCCTACTCATATTATTCCACTATGAACGTCTTCTGCCCTGCAATCCTTGTATACATCTTCCTGCTTTATAGCTCCGTTATAGATTGAGCGGATAGAGTGAGATGTGGGTTCGACTCCCGCTTGACATAAAAGTTTTGCGCGTCACTCTGCATCACTGGGCATTTCTGAAAGTCGAAATTCATTTTTTGCTTCGGATGGAAAGGAGTGTGCAATCTTTCTTTGCTCCAAGCAAGCAGAAGAAAACTCAGTTTTCATTTAAAAAAAACTAATTCCTACTATTTTTTAGCTAGAGAGTACCATTGGAAAGCTTGTCTGGTTTTTACATTGTAGATATATAGCTAATTTTTTATAGGTTTGTGAACGTATGTATTTTTCTTCTAGTCGGTAAAGAACTTTGAATCGATTGGGAGCTCACAAGCGACCCTAAATAGAACATTCAATTAGTTTATTTAACGGTTTGATGGCTTTTACCTAACCATTGGCATTATCATTAGGGAATATTTAATCAGAATGACTAAATGTAGCGCTTGCACTTGGATATTTAAAGAAATGACTCAAAAATGCCTAACATATAACTGCATTTAAAAGATACACTCTCTGTCTTCTATCCTGCACTAAATGGAGCACACTGTGTTCGCCATCTTCAGTGGTAGATCTTCGCATAATATTAAGTCATTTTCGCTCTACTAAGCAGATAAACGACAAAAGCACTGGCTGGTCTTACCGTCAGTTGTATTTTATCTAATGTGGTGTTAAACTGTTCTCGCTTTTGTATGGAGTCTTCTCGTAAAGATCTCAGGATTATTAGGCATTCAAATATCAGTAGGCTGTGGAAAAAGTTCTGTCACATTGCTTGAGAAAATGACTATTATACAACTATTTTGTGAGATTTTGAGCTTATCAGAAAGCTCGTTTTATGGGCATCAAACGGTATATCAGTCTACTCACACAGCCTTTAGTACGAAACTGTTCAAGGTAAAAATTCGTCGTGCTCCACTTTCACCAAAAATTGAGTGTCAACGCTTCTGTGGCTCATCAACAAATCGTGTGACGAAATTTGCAATGTTCGTACAGCACAGCGTTGGTCAAAGACATTCCGCGAAAAGGAGACCGACTGACCGACAAGCCAAAAGGAGAACGTCTACGAAATAAGTAATATCCCCAAATTCTCTTTGAATCGAAGGATCGCGAGCTTTGCCGCTGTAAAAATGTTTGCTACGGATATGTGATTAAATTGCCCTGATGTGGAAAAACACTACTTTGACTATTGATTTACCTTTCGTTTAAACTTGGTTGGTCTACGAATGAAATTTTTCAATGAGTTCCGGAAATACGGCAGAACTTCTCTGCAACCTCTTGTTATAGCAAAATAGTCAACCTCATTTATTCTCTTTCTAAGTAATCTCATTTACTGAGGACAGACACGTCAGCTAAAGAAATATCTCCTCTAGGGCTATCTGAAAGCAGTAAACGTGACCTAAAAATAGTTAATATCTTTTGGATACTCTGCACGTGACTTGTTCATCTTGTTCAAGCGCATTTTTTTTCCAATTTTTGCTGCAATAATTCAATCTCTTCTAATATATTGGTTATATCTGCGACCGCATAAGTATTTCAATAGATTTCGTATTTCAAGACTTGATATGGGCAAATCTTCTTGTTATCTTCGTGAAGGAGTGAAGCCAAAAAATCCAAAGGGGCGAAATAGCCAATTTCAAAAAGGGAGGCAGTAGCGAAAAGTTGTCCTACCTCTCGAGATTTTCTTTTTCGTTTTGCTACTAAACACATATTTACTTTGAAATTCTTACCTTAATGCTCCAAGCTATCATATTCTGAATAGTAGTTTATTGAGTATATGAATGACCTCTAAGCCTGTTCAATGCTGAAAGCGGCCATTGATTTGAGCGCATACCACTCCCGGCGTTTGAGTCGCCAAAAACACAAAATGAGGCCTACCGACATTGTGCACTGCATTGTTTTCTGATTCAATATCATTATGAGTTATTAACACCTTGTTTTATTGGTGGGCTTATCAAGGATTTCATAAATCTGTCTATGGCTAAGGCTTCGGCGGGTTTGCCTTTCGTTCATAATCCTCGCATGCTTCAAAAAGAAGAAATACACAATTTTTCTGAATCTGATATTTTTGTTTGCTAATGTTTTTTTTGGGCAAATAATCTAGTCCACACTGTCAAAATATTTTAAATTTCATGGCAAGAAAACTACTACGAATCCAAAAACGATTAGTTGAATACCATATTACAATGTACACAAAACAACATTGTGAAAACTTGTCTGTTCAACAGATTTTGATAGAACCATTTATAAAACATTGGCAAAATTCGCAAACACAGCATCGCATTACAAGAACAGGGAGACTTCTGTGGCTAGTTGATCGTCGCACAGAAATCAAATCAAAACGTCGCGTAAACTTTTTACTAAGTTCCATTTAACGTTCGTGAAGAGCTCAAAATATGACAAAGTCTTCTGTGATTTACGTCAATTCTGCAGTTGCTTTGAGGAAAAAATCTGAGAAGGAAAAAACCTGAGAAGGAAAAATCTGATCGGTTGGTTCACTTAGAAGTGCGCATTGAAAGCACCGTAAGCGCTGTGGAATCATGGGCGCTGAAATGAATTTTTAGGAACGACGACTGAAGCTGAGTAAGTACTTCCGTGTTAACAGTTCCGTGTCGTGGTGATTGACTTGCTAATCGAGAGAACTTTCGCTACTGTATTGTCACTGATCTTCCGATTTGATACCTTACTATGTCAACAACTTCGTGTGTTGCTTTAATAACATCACTTTATAGGTAATCGCATGAGCATAATTGCCTCATGATGTTTTTATATGTGGATTACCATCACCAACCTCACTTACGCCGCTGATCTTTGAGTGATCAAGCGAGTGCGAAGAGAGCTCTTATTTTTTTTCCTACTGCGCCAAAGAGTTACACAGAAGATTTTTCTAACTGCAATGATTAGCTAAGGATCATGTCCTCCCTCTAAGATATTTGAAGAAATCATATCATGTCAGATAATCATCAGTGCGGGCTTGACGTTTCTAAAAAATCGGCCGGTAATGACTCTCGTTATTCTGATGTCTACAAATCGTATGACCTGTTCGGCTTAACCTGGTTTCATCTTCGAACCTGGTGTGCATAGTGGCGTCTCTGGATTTTGATTTTTCAAAACTCGCAACTTTGGATCATTGTACCCATCAGCTAAGCACGAAATACTGCTAATATCGTCCGACTGTGGCCTTATTTTAACCATGTTAGCCGTTTTGTTTCCGTCCTGTGCAGCTCCAACAACTGCGATACGTTGATTTTCACAGTGCACGACTTGAGCACACTTGAAAAAGACCAATAAGTGAGACACATTTCGAAAGAAGATTATAGAGAGAGTTTAAGAAGATTATAAAATTTATCAGATTGCGGATAAACGTCCTTAACACCCGCTGAAAATTCAAAGTTTATAATAAACTCAATTAAGAACATCAGCTATTATTGTAGAGTGATGCGCAAAACTCTCGCTAGGTGCGACTAGAACCCGCACCTCACTCTTTCTGTGAACGCGTGCTCTATCCCTCATACCACTGACGCCAATTTTCCACAACACTCTTTCTACGCTTCCACGCTACAGCGCGTCAGTCTCTCAACCGACAACCGCCAAAGGCCTGGCCCGGGCAGTCGGTTTTGACAATGAACCCAGTCGCACTGACAAATATTGGGTAGTGAAAATCAAGTTGTTTGAGATGCGCTGTAGCGTAGAAGAGCGCTGTGAAACATGGACGTTAGTAGTGCATCGGATAGAGCACGCGCTCTCGGAAAGAGTGAGGCGCGGGTTCTAGTCCCGTTTGACGTGAAAGTTTTACACATCACTCTACATCAATAGGTACACATTCAAAACATCATACCACCGCTGAAAGCGGTTGAATAGAAAGAATTTCATCAACAGTTATTCTTCAAATAAGATTCATCATTATTCATGATCTCCCGTCAACAATCTGCAAGCCCCCGAATCTGCTCGAAATTGTCATTTCTTGAGCTATAATTCAACGAAACTTTTGGTATGCCTCTTCAACTTGATCAAATGTCTCGAATCAGCGTTCACGCGGTTTTATTAAGAGGAAAAGAGTATGATCTCCCGGTGCAGCGCATGAACTATAAGCTGGATGCCCCTCGACTCCCTCTAACTCATCATACTTTTCCTTAGCGTTCTTTGTGGTTTGCGGGTTGGCATTTTCTCATTGAAACAGGTTTCCCTGAGAGTTAAAATTTCTTGGATCTCCAGCCATTACTCTACTGTAGGTTTATAGACAAATGTTCAGTTATCTGTTCCACTTGAGAGAATTTGGGCAGATGTTCTTGGCTTTCAAATGTACAAGTCAGAGTGTACGAGATTTACCCACTAGGTACCAAAAGCTAGTTGGCCCCATTTCTTGGACGCGCAAATAAATCTAAGCGATAACGTCTACATTACGAAGTGGTACAAAAAGCTATGTAACAAGAATATTCTGGTTCACCACTTCTCTTATCCCTCACACACGAAAAAGGCACTAGGAAGCAGTCTATAATACTGCTGTTTTGATGGGTGAGATGCAATACGAACCTATGTGATCGCCTTCAGGTGATCTACACTTGAATTACTTAGTGGAAGATATAAAAATGTGGTGAGTAAATAAAGTTGATTTTGTGATTGATACGATTGAAATCTAAGTCTTGTGATTTTCTCTAAAAAAGTCATGGTGGTGTATGATTGCTTGGATTGTGTGCAACTTTCATTCCAGGCTATGAATAACTCTTTGCGGACGGCACTATTTTTACCTGGCATGCTCTTCGGGCGGCTGTGGAGGGAAACTGCCGGTGCGCGCTCTTATGGCAGTGTGGTAGTTCTCCAATAAAACTTACCTTTTCTTCGTCAAAAAATGTGCTTCTGTGCCACTAAATGACCAAATATGATAGAACAAACTTCAGCGTAGTCATTTTTGCTATAAATAAAGTAATTGCTCCATTTACAACTCACACCTTGAAAGCGGAGGCCAAGTAGTCGTGAAAGGGCTATATTTGAAACCTTTATCGAACATTTCTACAGCATTTTATTTATACTTACCCAAGACTCTTTGAGAAATATTTATACATAAATCCTTTCAATAACGATCGATTATTTTTGGCGAGAAAGTTTATAATAATCGAAATCCAAATCTCAAAAATCCGCTTGAATTAGAAAATTGGATTGCGACTGCAAACGTCATTATTTATACATTATTAGAATGATTGTAAAACTATTATTGAGCAACATGTTTGGTATTAGAATCAAATTTTTCAAGCTATCATCTCACTACAAAAACATCAAGAAGATAGCAGAAAATTTTCAATAACGGCTGGGAATATAATCCTTTCTGCAGATATGTTGTTAATTCTTCTTTTGAAAGATGAAGGCTTTGGTAATCATTAGTGTTATTCTTACTAAAATTATTCATAAAGAAGTCTCATCGGTGGTATTATTTCGTTTCTAATGATATTACTCCTCTGAAGACACAAAATTCTATTGGAACGCGCACCACTATTCGTCTGCAAAGGGATAAGGAACTGCCAAAACTTTGCCTGCTTGAATGAAGATTGGTATAACACCTTGTGTCCGGCTAAGAAGAAAATTAGGAATTACTAGAGTTTTATGCACTCTATCTAGCGTTGCCGTGGGAGCTTCATACGCAAATATTCCTGAGATATTCCCATGAATTTGCAGTAGCCAATACTGCATGAAACAGGCATAATATTCGAATTCCATTTGTGCGTTAAGAAACATTTCCTCAACCTGATTACATTAGAGCTAATATCAACAAAATACATAATTGTGCGTATATGTAATACGAATATCAATATAAATTTGCATATAAATAATTAATTAAATAAATACATAAGTATATTTATATATATAATATACAGGAACTACACGGAAGTTAGATGAACGTCGGCATCGAAAATACAGCAATTTGAGAGCCAGTAAAAATCTGCGATAGTAAAATGCCATCGTGTTGTACTCGCTCTTGAAACTCAGTGTTGCGTTCTACAGCACAAGTTCTCCAAAATTCAACATTGAAGTCAAGTTTCTCACTTCATAAAATAATGAAGCACTCTTTCTTTAGAGGTAGAGGCATAGGTTCACTGTATAACTACAGGCTCATGTTAGATGCAGATGGTAAACATCAGGGCGAAATTACTTGTCGCTTTGATTCAGATTGAAACAACGCAGAGCTGTTCATTTAGCTACATCAAACACTTTAAAATTTTTTGCGAAGAAGATTAAAACTGACATCGCTAATCGCGCTTTGAATTGCTCTTTTACTAACGCAAAAGAGAGAAATCTCCTCATCCTTGGACAAATAGTGTAGTAAAACTCACTCAGGGGCGTACACCCTTCCCGCTTCACATTTCGATTTCGTGCTCACGATACCCTGATTAGAAGGTTTCAGAGTTTTTTCGGTTATAAGGGAACAAACGAATATTCGACTTCATTCGCTATACAGAAATTTTTCGTAGGAGTGTTAGCACTCACTCGAAAGCTTGAATCTCTGACTGGAGCCATGAGTAGTTGATTTTTTTACGAAGACCTTTATTTAACGCTATATTAAAATAACATCATGTTTTACATCGGCCCCGCTATGCAACTATTGTTTCGTTTGAAGCACGAACAGCACATGAACGTGTAGAAAAAATCCTTCAGTATTGAAAACATACGTCTAATCTGGAATTTTGGATGGGAAGTTTCTGAATTAAAACAAACACTGCATTTTCATGCGAGAAAATCGGTCGATCACTGCGCCAGCCTTCCCTGCAGCTTCACACCACAGCCCTAAATTGGCTAAAAAATACATGATCGCGTATGTAAATTAATCTTCTCTTCCCTGTTACACTGTAGAGAAACGATTTTTTAGAAAATAAAACAGCGCTAGAATCTTTGAATCTTACGCTACTGATTGATTGCTAATGGCCTAAAAAGAGCTCTGTCTGAAAGAAATATGCTCTTGTGAAACACAATTTTTTTGAATTCTTCATTGCTCTAGAAAGGTCTTATCGAAAACCGCCCCGTACGAATTTAGCAAAATTTTGCTTTCGAGTCAAAGTTCTATGAAAAATTCATGCACAGCAAAATAGTTCATAAATTCATTTGTTCTTATAAGCAGAAAGTACCGTTTTTCACAATCAAACCAAGCGATCGTTTCTGGAATAACAGTGTTGTAAACTGACGAATGAGTTCTTACACTTTCATGGTGAGAAAGTTAGTGTGCGCCCTAAATGTAAACAAGCACCACGCTGTGCATTTATTCCGTCCGCCGCTCATCGCGCGTCATAAATATTTGCGCGTGCTGTGATGGAGATAGAGGAGATCACTTCGTATGTGTACTGTAGTCGTTCAATGAACACGAAGATCATCATGAAGGTGCTACTAGGCAGAAGAAGAAGAGCAGTATGGGCCGCACTAGGGCCTCTCAAGAGAGCCACCAACCGGATAGAGGACATCAAACTTCACTCTCGCTTTTTGACTTTAACAATCCTCCCAGCGTTCTTTTAAGTTGAACAGACTGGGCTGATACTTCGATCACGTCAAAACTTCTGCTAATAACTCACAAAGTACTCGAACGATGAATAACTAGCCAGCCTGCGCAGCGCAGATTTCCGAAATATGCCTAATCTTCGTGATTCAGAAGATTTTTCATAGTTGAGGTAAAACAAACGGATCTGTTATATAGAAGTAAGATTAGATGACAGATGGGCGATCAAACTAACGAGTAGATCCTGCGAGAATACACACCCCCGAGGACGATCATTTACGTGTTAGGTGGACGTATTTACCGGAACAATTAATTAGGTGTACTTGCATTTGCAGATATTTCAGAAATTAGGGGTGCGAAACTCGCGGTAACCGCCATGCTCAAGTCATACCTCCACCATGGACGATAATCGTAAGAAGAGATGATTGGAAAATGTGGTCGGGTGTGCACAGCTCGTTAAGACGGATTCTCAGGTATCCTAGTAAGTAATGGAAATATGATAATTCATTTGGTAAATCAAGGTTCTAAGCAGACATTATCATCATCGAAAGATAGAATACCACTAAAAGACTTGATAAAAATTTTTCAGTGTAAAGAACAAATCCCAAGACCGACTACTATTAACCTTGGCGTGCTCCAATAATTCCTGATCACCTTAGGCCACACACCAGGTGTTACATTATTCTTTATTCAACAGCTTGCACTTCGGCAGTTCGCTTTTTTTAAAGCCTGGAAAGGTCAAGTTGTCTACAATCCAATTAGTTCAAATATCTCCGTTACTCTTCTGGAAAAAAAATCATCAGACCTAGATTTCAATCGCATCAAGCACAAAAACAACTTTCAACATACTCACCGCTTTTTATATGTGTTTACTGAATAATTCAAGAGCAGTTCGCCGGAAGGAGATCACATAGGCTTGTAATCATCTACCCAGTTGATATGTTATATGTTGAGAGTTAGTTTTGTGCTTTATAAGATTGAAATTCAAGTATGGTAACTTTTTCAATGGGAGTAAAGGAGGTGTTTGATTGGTTGGATTGTAGACAACTTGACCTTTCCAGGTTCTGAAGAAGGGGAACTGCCGAAACGTCACTTGATGAATAAAGATAACACCTCGTGTACGGTTTGAGAAGAAAACTAGGTAAAGAACGCCCACATGATAAAAAATTTCTATAATTCAACGAGGAAGCAACAACGTTGAGGGGTATAACATATTTCCACTGTTATATATAATTCGTTTCTCTTTTTTTAGTCATTTTTTGCAGATATCAACAGCTTGCAGAACGCCGATGTTGACTTGAGCTCGGTT